GCCCTCCCTCTGCTTGCTGCTGCAGCACATTCAAGCAGCAGCAGCAGCAGCAGCAGCATCAGCAGCAGCAGCAGCAGCAGCAGCACCGGCAGCCAAAGCCAAGCCAACGACCCTCAAAGCCTTACTGCCTGCTGCTAAACCCTAAACCCTAAACCCTAAACCCTAAACCCTAGAACAGCATCTTTTTGTGCACCCTTCATAAACGAACAGACTTGACCTCGACCCCTAAACCCTAAACCCTAAACCCTAAACCCTAAACCCTAAACCCTCACCTTTTCCTTCTGCCATAGTTTAAGGATCTGAGCTGCGAGGTTTCTTATAAAAGGCGAAACCCCCCCAAACCACAGCGGGGGTTTCTCTCTCCCCGCAGCAACAGCAGCAACGAGAGACAGCAGCTGCACACACAAACCCTAAACCCTAAACCCTAAACCCTAAACCCTTGAACATAAACCCTTAACCCAAAATCTAAAGAAAAACGGGATGGCGCAACATTTGCTGCTGCGCTTGTGGCTACTGCAGCAGCAGCTCCTCCTCTTGCTGCTGCTGCTGCTGCTGCACCTGCTGCTGCTGCTGCTGCTGCTGCTGCTGCTGCTGCAGGAGAGGGTTTAGGGTTTGAGCTGCACCTGTGCTGCGCCTGGCTCCTCCGTGGGTGCTGCTAAACCCTTCAAGAGAAGCAGCAGCTGCCGCAGGCGCATGCTGCGTTGTGCTGCTGCTCCGCTGCTGGTGCTGCTGCTGCTGCTGCTGTCAGCAGCAGCAGCAGCAGCAGCAGCAGCAGACAGGCTCCGAGATGCCCCCAAAACCCCCAACCACTTCGCCAATACACTCAAACCCCCGCATGCAACAAAACCCTTCACTGCAGCAGGACTGCCCCGCTGCAGCAAACCTGAAAAAACAAAAACCCTAAACCCTAAACCCTAAACCCTAAACCCTAAACCCTAAAACTTAAGCCCTAGGATTGTCTCAGCTTGAACATATATAGCGTTGCACTGCAACGAAGATGTAACCACCCCAAGGTATACAGTCTAGGGTTTAGGGTTTGGGGTTTAGGGGTTTAGGGTTGGGGGTTTAGGGTTTAGGGTTTACGTACTGATGCACTGCAACTGCAACGCCTCGGGAGCCTGCGGCAGCAACCCCACCAGCTCCTTCGCCTGGGCCTGCAGCACACAAACCCTAAACCCTAAACCCTAAA